AAGTGTCTTAAAAAAATTTGCTTCAAGCAAATGCAAGCAGTTGGAAGTGCTTGATTATGTTAGATGGTAGGATTGTCTGTATGACCGAGAGCAATAAACAACAGTTACATGCAATATGTAATAACAGAGTAATTGGAATTTTTTCACATTTTATTGAATATTTTACCTTAAAATTACATAAAATCCATAAAAATATCTATATTTTTACAATAAATGTTCAATATGATGTCCATTGTTGTTCAAGCAGGTATTAATTCTTCTTTTCATATTATTAAATACATTCTGTAAAACATTTTGTGTAATACTCCTAATTTCGTTTGTAATTGCCTCTTGAAGTTCTTCATTCGTGTGTAACCGTTGAGCAAATACTGAATTTTTTAAAAAACCAAATAAATAATAGTCTAGGGGTGTAAGATCAGGAGAACGTGGTGGCCATCTATCTCGACTAATTATTCGATCATCATAATACTCTTTAATCAACTCTAAAGTCTCGTTAAAGGTGTGATCTGTTGCGCATTCTTGCTGAAAGTATCCATGATGGATTTCATCGTCGTGAAGTTCCTCAAAAAATGGTAACAATATTTGCTGCCGATATACCTGCCCAGTTACATTTTCACGGAAAAAATATGGTCCGATTATTCTTCTACGTGACATAGCTACCCCAACACCAAGTTTAATAGGGTGCAGAGTTGTTTCACGCAAAATATTAGGGTTTTCTGTGTTCCAAGAGCGATAATTTTGGGAGTTTACGTACCCACTTAAATGAAACCATACTTCATCAGAAAAAAATGTTGGATCTAGAATATCGTTGTCATTCAGATTTTCGTTAAACTAATTACAGTATTGCACACGTTTTCCAAAATCTAACGGAGGTAGTTCCTGCACAACACTAACTTTATAAGAATGAACTTGCAACTTCCTTAAGTACTGCTTTATGGCATGATCCATATGATATTCCTATAAACATTTAGGAATAATGATACAAATTTTAGAATAAACGTTTGTTATTACCTGTTTGAGCAGATAACTGATTTGGTTGGACTAGCTCGTAAGTGGTTTTCGACATCTTCCAAGACTTCCTCTGTAAGAATAGACTTTCTGCCTGGAGGTTTTCCAAACACCTCCACTGTTATGGAAGTGTTTCACTAATCTCTTCACGTGTCTCGAAAAAATTTCATAATCAATTTCATCATTTGGAAATTGTTCTTGAAATTGTAAATGACACGAATTCATAGAATATTTTCAACCATTATAGTTGTTTTGTCCAAATAGGCTTCCAGAAGGAATTTATCAGGGGGGAGACATACCGAATGCGCTGTGAAGCCGGAATATGAAACAGAGAACTATAAGGGGAAAACTGTTATTTGCGCATGTCTCAATATGGCAGAAAGGAAATTAATGAAATTATTCTTTCTTGGATTCTTGGTGGTGTTTGTTATTGTTATGTTTACTAATTGATTGTACTCGACGGTTAGGATTTTTTTGTGTGTGATTATATATATTATAAAACTATTAAATACTTATAAATATGCCGAAACGTAAGCATGTTAAGAAATGCTGCTTTTTATGCGACGAAAATTGTCGACTAGAAAATGTATCATTTGAGGTTACCTACCATAGGTAAGTAATTTCTGAAGTACAGTGCATTTTATCATAGATTAGTAAACAAATTGTTAAAAATTATTGTACAATATTTTAGATTTCCTTCTGTAGTCCAAATAAAGAAATTATGGATGGATTTTTGCAATTTGGATGAAGAAAAGGACGATGTTTCCAATATATATATTTGTTCATTGCATTTCCAAGATGAGGACTACACAGATTTAAATGCTAAAAAATTTGGGGGACGTCTTAGACTTAAAAAGGGTGTAGTTCCTTCTATTCTAGTACCTCATGGGAAACGTAAAATGTTTTTGTCAGTAGCAGAAGAACCGCCTCTTGTATCATCGCCACCCTCAAGTCAAATATTAGAACCTGTGCCATCTACATCCAAAATTACTTCACTTACACCTTTAGATTACAGTAAGTATCCAAAATAATAATAAATTTTAAACCTGTTATTTTAAAATATAATAAAATTTAATTATATTTTTTATTATATATTTACAATCACTTTAAACTTTTTTAGAATTAAAAAAAATATATTAGATGTTTTTTTAATTGAAACATTTAACTCTAGCTTGAATACTGTTTGACGTGTCTCCTATAATTAATTTCCTATAAAGGGAAGCATTTAGACTTTGCTGTTGGGGTTTACTGTACCTACAAATGATTAAAAATTATATATAGTCGCGGCACGAATTCAACTGACTTATGTACGGGTGGCGTAGCGCAATCGTTTTTATTGTCAACATAATTTTCGATAGTTTGTCGCATTAAAAAAAATCATTTTTTGTAATTTAGTGTAACATATTATAATGTAAACATATATAGTTTTATTATTCTCAATTAGTAGTTTCTTAAATATTTTGAAGTAAGTAATTATTAATTTGTTCGTATGACGTAAGTCGTCTGAATTCTTGCCGCCATATATATTTTAAAGTAATGTTGTATTTATTTTCATAGGTATCTCTGGATCACCTAATTCATTAATCCAGGAAATAACAACTTCTACAGATGATGCAATGGGTGTTATGACTACACCAAAACATTCTAAGAAAAAATCTCCCGATGTTTCTACACCAAGAAGAGCGAAACGAAAACTGTTATTTGCCTTGGACGAAGTAGAAAGGCAAAGAAAAAAAAATAGAATAATTAATCAGAGAAACAGAAGACTAACAAAACGTGTAAAGTCACTTCAGGATTTAGTTAAGCATTTACGTAACAAAGCTTTAATTTCTGAAGAAGCCAGTTTAGTAATGGTAAATAGATGAGTTACAGAACAGAAAACATATTTATGTCTAACAATTGAATTGAGTTTTGAATTGAATACATGTTTATGTCTAAAATAAACAAAAAAATATTACAAATTTTGGTACCAATACAAAACTAAGTTATTTTGTAGTCATTTTGATACTTTAGGTTTATTATTATTACTATTATTCTTATTATTACAGTCAATTTTTTATTTTCAGGCCGAGTTACCTGAAACTATGAAAGAAATGTTTTCTCATCATTCTAAAAAAAAAAAACAGTATTCTCCCGTGCTAAGAACGTTTGCACTAACTTTACAGTTTTACTCAGCTAAAGCGTACAATTATGTTAGAAAAATTTGGAAAAATTGGCTACCTCACCCAACCACTATTCGTAAATGGTATAGTGTCATAGATGGTAAGCCAGGATTTACAAAAGAATCTTTTCGAGTTATTGAAATGAGAAATAAAGTGAAGCCTGTACTGTGTAATCTTGTATTAGACGAAATGTCTATAAGAAAACAGATAATTTTCAAGGGCGGAATTTTTTATGGTCACATAAATATGGGTACTGGTGTGGAAAGAGAACAAGATAATTTACCCGAGGCAAAAAATGCTTTAGTGATCATGGCCGTGTCGTTAAATGATCATTGGAAGATACCTTTGGGCTACTTTTTAATTGATGGTCTCGGTGGTGAAGAGCGTGCAAATTTATTAAACTTGTGTTTTGAATTAATGAATAATACGGGGGCAAGAATTTATTCAATTACATTTGATGGCGCACCTGTTAACTTATCGATGTGCATTCATTTAGGGGCTAACTTTAATTACACGAGTAAGAATTTTCAGCCATGGTTCAATAATCAAGTTACTTCTGAAAAAATATTTATTTTTTGGGACTATTGCCACATGATTAAGTTAGTCCGTAATACTTTAGGGGATAAAAAGAAATTATATCATGGGTCAGACGAAATAAATTGGTCATACATAGTTAATTTGTATGAACTTCAGTGTACTGAAGGCCTTCATGCAGGTACTAAATTAACAAAAAAACATATAAATTTTAATGACAATAGAATGAATGTCAAACTGGCCACCCAAACATTAAGCCAAAGTGTAAGCAGTGCACTTACATTTTGCAATCATCTAAAATTATCTAAATTCAAAGATTGTATGGCAACAGCCAATTTTTGTTTAATTTTTAATAATATATTTGATTTTCTAAATTGTAAAAATAAATTTTCAAAAAAAAAATTTGGAAAACCTTTGTGTAAAGAAAATTACGAAGGTTTAAATCAGCAGGCAAATATCTTTGAAAACTATATTTCTAATTTATATGATAATTTAGGCAAACCAATTTTAGATGGCCCAAGGAAGACTGGTTTCTTGGGACTTATAATATGTCTTCAAAATGTATTTAAATTGTATGATTACGTTAAAACCAAGAAAATGGATTTTCCGTATCTATTAACATATAAATTATCCCAAGATTTTCTAGAGACTTACTTTGGTGCTATAAGAAGTCGGGGAGGTTTCAATAATAACCCAAATGCCGTTCAATTCGAAAGCGCATATAAGCGTTTATTAGTAAAACATGAAATTTCAGCAGAAAGAGGCAATTGTATTCCTGATAACATAGAAATTTTAAATGTAAGTTCAAAAAGGGCTAAATTAACTGAACCAGTTTGTGATTACGAAGACATTGTGGGCAACATCGCTGATCATGATTATATTATAACAATTTGGGAATTATCCCCTTATGTAGAGAATATTGTAAGTTACATCGCTGGCTTCATTGCGAACAAAATAATAAATAGTAATATTTGTCACTTTTGCCAAAAATGTTTAGTAAAAGACGGGGGTGAAATTCCCTTATTAATAAAAATTAAAAATCGGGGGTCTTTCATTGTTCCATCGGACGACATAATTAACATTTGCAGGTTTTCTGAAACCACTTTCAGAGAACATATTTATAAAATTTTTCAATTAAAAAATATAAAAAACGTTTTAATTCAAAACACATTCAGGAAAATTGGTTATTCGGTATTTTCTTCAAAAGACATGCATGACCATATTCTAAATCAAGATCCATTAGATAATCACCGTATACAATTAATAAAATTCATTATTGAAATATATGTTAATATTCGGCTGTATTATGAAGCAAATATTAAGTCACAAAAGGATGAATACATAAGAAATAAATATAATAAACTAATTTTATTTAAAAATCAGTAGTATACTTTGTATTAGATTTGTATTTATATTATATGTAATGTTGTATGTATGTATTATATGTAATGTTGACTTTCATGTATAATGTAATAATACCTAAATTGAATAAAAATTAAACTTGTTTTTATTGGTGTATTTATATTTTTATTTTCAGTAAAAATTAATGAATCATGATTCTGGAGAGATATTATTTATTATTAAAGACAAGACAATGATCTAACAGTATGGTATTTACACGTATCCTCATTGCCTAAAATAAAAACGGAAACCCTTATGCCCAGGTAACTGAAAGTGAATTATTATAATGCAATTTTAAAATATGATTAAAAGATTTTTCTTTAAATGAAGCACAATGTTCTCTACAAAACACTTAGAATTTTCGCTTTGAAATTAAAAAAGTATATACATTTATTAGAATTACTCAGAAATGCAATTCTCTATCTCTAGAATTGTTGGTCTAAACGAAAAATTGTGTTCTACAAAAGGGTTTAGAAACCAACAATCTTTCTAAATATCGCATCGCCAGAATTCTCGTCAACAAAAAAATATTGTGAGCGTCGTAGAACTGGCTTTTCTCAGAATCTTTTTCAGTTCCTTTGTAATCTACCTGGGAAGTTTTAATTGAGTCATCCTGTTGAATATTCTTGTTTTTCATATTTTAATTGTAGTAATACATGTACTCGAACTCGTATATTATTTTGTGGGTTATGCTTATGTCTTCTATATGAAATTTGCATTATATTTATAGATCATGGCCCGCTTTTCCGTTCGAAATTAGCGCATGTGCATATCGTACAAGTCCCCTTAATATTCTCCTCTCACTTTAATTCGGCTTCACTTCTATTACCAGCTAGGGATTGACGTTATCAATATAGTAGTATTATATATATGGAATTTATCATGTTCTAATGAAAATGCCATGTTCTTAACCTAAAATTAAAAAATCGATTAGGTTAGGGAACAACATGAACATACACAATAAATTAATTTCTCACGTATAATATCCACCTTCTCTAACTGTAGTAGATCCCTATTGAAAAATACTGTTTTATAATGTCGCAAAATATATCAGGTAACAACAAAATCTACAAATATCAAATATTCAAGCTAAAAATCCGTGCGCCAATGATTAGAATGTCAAATTGTGAAATCGCCATAGAACACTCTAAAATCGCACAATTGGCACTGGAAAAGTGCCAATTATGCGATATACGTGTAAAAAGTAAGATTTTATTTTGTGAGTGAAGATGATTAAAAAACGAGCGTAGCGAGTTTTTTAACTTCACGAACAAAATAAAATCACTTTTAACACGTATATCATACAATATTTTTTCTACAAAACTGTTAAAAGTGGGTTTTTTAATTGTCATTTTTAACATCAAAAATGACAATTAAAAAGCCCACTTTTAACAGTTTTGTAGAAAAAGTAATTTTTAGCAAACGGAAATCAGTTTTGATAGCAATTGAGACAAGGTACGTTCAAAATCCGATCAATCATTCTCGATCTCTGTATAAAATGTACGAAAAAATAAAATAAATAAAAATATTGATTTTTTTGGGGGTTGAGGGGGTTAAATTAATTTTGAAGGGTTAAAATAATTTTGACAACAATTTTTTATTGAGAACTATTGTCTAAAACATTTCAAATAAAAAAAATGCAAAAAAAAATTTTTTTCAAAAAATTCATTTTTAAGGCGTTGTTTTACAAGATTAGAAATAATCCAGAATGTCGTATTCCACCCTTCGAGCGAGCTTCAGGTTTTCAGAACACCCCGTATATTCATAGAAGTCATAATCTTGTACCTACGGATATGCCGGAGACCGCTGAATTGAAAAGGAGGCGAAACAATCATATTCACCTACCTTTCCAATTCAAACCAAAAACCCGCCACGGTTGCGAAATCAATCGCCGTCGGCCGGGCAGAATGAAAAAGCCTCTATAGGAGTCTTCAGACATCGATCCTCACGGCGATAGCGCTCCCAGAGCGTTAAAGACCAATTTCACCGACCTTTCCAGTGTCACCCGCATCGCGACCGATCTCGCCTGGGTCTGCCATCCCGGCGCGCAGTGACCACTGCCGCTGCTCTCGCAACCTGCAGTCGAACCCCGGGACGCTTCACGATGACATTTGGAAATGGCCATTAGAAATTTCACCACCCTTTTGAATTGGTCAAGGACGCTATCGCCAATAACTCCAAAAGTTATTGAGCGATCGGTGTCAAAATTTAATGCAGCACTCCTCAAGTCGCTAGCATTATCTTACTAAATTTTCGTCCGAATCGGATGAGCCAAAACGCCGTTATACGGGGAAACGCGGATTTCACGTTTTCCGCGTTTTCAGCCGTTCCGCTCATTCGATCTCGGCCGAACCCTCCAACCACACTAGAGTATCGCTAGGTGGTTGTCATATCCAAATTCGAACCGAATCGCCCGACTACTAACGGCCAGCTAAGCCATAATAGGTTTTCACGCCTTTAGAGCTGCCGCCGAAAGTATCCGCGCGATCTCGGTCGAACCCTCCAACCACGGCACTATGTCATGCCGTGTATCTAAACACAAAATTTCAAATGAATCCATCCAGAAATAAGACCTCCGTAGGCCCTTTTACGAGGACGGGGAAAATATCACCTATCTTTCCAATTTCCCCGTCTTTGGGCCGAAAGGACCGTCTTCCGAAGGTTCCACCGCTCTGGCGGTTGGATACGATGCTCGGCAGCCCAAGCCGAGACCGCGGGTAGAGTTTTTCCCAAACCTGGAAAAAACTCCAAAATCCCCGACGCCGACATCGACAATCCGTAGAGGCCAGAGGGGAACGAGTCCCGGCGTTGATGGGGACGATGGATGATTT